TAAAATTCGTGCTTGTTTTAAACCACGCATCAATTTAAGTTCTGAACTACAAACTATAGCAGTTTTAACTATGATATAATTTTTACATCAAATAAGGGGCCAGATTCAGCTGTAACCATACCTTTTGCTTTAAGTATAAATCTACAGGAGTGTTTTATCTAAATATCGATGAGGCACAACTGATAAAACGAAACTGAAAAAAAAATATTGTAATGTTTATGTTACTTAAAAAAATAAAAGCACATTTAATACTAAGATAATTTGCAGTCAAGAATCTTAAAAGATGATTGTATCAAAGCCAGCACATATTCTAACTCGGGTCGTTTACAGAGGTACCAGGATGCTTTCTAAATAAAGCATTCAACCTTTTTTATTAATATTAATGTTTTTCCGTCGATTTTGAGATACCTTTCACTTCAGCTGGAATCATAGAGAACAAGATTGTCTATCTGAGATTGTATAAGCAAGATGCATCTGTTAAGTACATGTAACCAGTGAATAATATGTATTGATGCATAGTTAAATAAGTTTTTGCTTTGTTTTCCCTGAAAAAGAATGTACTTTTAGATTGATGAAAATATGAAGAAAATGTAAAAAAAAAAAATCATAATTATTGACATATTTTGTGACATTTCTGTGTCTTTATCTAACCCAAACTTTCTTTGAGATATCCCAAACCAGGGACCATACAGGGGCCTTAGCCTTTCCTGTAATGGATTCCATACCAGAACTAAATACTTTCAAAGTTTTAGAGATAATTTACAGTTGTAAAATAATAATCATATGGCTTGAAATAGAAATTGAAAGTACGTATATATACAGAATTAATAATTTTCATTAAAATAAAAAATCACAAAATTTGTAATGACCATTAAATGTTATTTTGTTACATAAAAGTTTTGCAATTTAAGAAATTCAAAACTATCTGTAACAATCAAAAAACCGTTTGAATTTATTTTTTTTTCATTTGGGATAATATATATCAAAATGAAAATTAAATGTCAGTTTTTCTTTGGGCTTAAAAATTATTGGAATTTTAAAGATATCAAGTTATCAAGTTATCATTTAATATATTTTAAGACACTCCAGCATATTGTTTATAATATTTAGGAACGGTGATAATACATGTATGTTATTTTTCATTATTGATGAAGTATGTAATGTTTGTTAATTATTACGTGCATGTTCATTCATACAAATATTGCAACCAATTGCGTGTGACATTAAAAATTTTCATTGCAAGAAACCATTGTCAACCGAGGTGCAGCTGAGTTTGACAATGGTTTTTGAGGGGTGAAAATTTTCAATGTTACACGCAACTAGTTGCAATATTTATTATATTATACTGAATGTTTAATACAAATACATATTGCAGTGAACCCTGTGCTCATAAATTCTGCACAGTCAACATTTGTTTTAACTGGGGTTTTTTTATGTATAAATTATTGTTCATGATATTCCATTACTTATTTATAGCTTCTGGGTTCTGAAATGGATGTGTGTTAAAAAAGAAACTTTATAGTTTTTACAATCTGTACATTTGAGTCATTGACTCAACATTTTCTCCCTTATATGTATAGTTTATTTTATTATATCCATTGATATGTTAAACCTAAAAGCAATAATTGCTTTTTTAATTTAAAATATGTTATTTAATAAACCATTTTTGTGTTCTGTAATTATGTATATAAATATTGATAAAGTTAACTATAGATATTCGAATTTTAAAGTTCAAGACAAGAATTAAACTTACTCCAGTAACTTTGACTGTATGGTATTTGTTAAATTTGTTGGCTTGAAATAAGCGCAGTCATAATATTGTAACGAAACTGACAAACATGTTTTGATGGTGTTATGTTGAAAATAAACATTGATCTCATGTATATTTTAGCAAATCGAAAGGTTATACTAAATCAGATTACTTTGTTATGTTCAGTATAATGTATATTAGGTACCTATGTAATGTATAATGTACATAGGTACCTATGTAAGTTGAAAATCTTGAGGCAGGTATTTCTCCTTCTGACTTTTTCCTCCGAAGGAATGTTTGCAAGTCACTTAATCGGAGCCATCTTTTTTTTTTTTGTACTTAATGCCAACTTTATTAGTTATATACTAATTAACTTTCATTTTTATTTTGAATTAAGGACATATCTCGGCAAGAGAAGAGGAGGATATTAACACACGCTGTATCTTACATGGAGTATATACACGATATTGAAACTCACACAGGAGTTCAGAGAGAGATGACACGTGTTATTATTAAGCTTTACGGTATCCTGTGTGGGTGGGACCAACTTGGTGTTACTCTGCCTAATGAGAGATTTCACCCTCGGTCCATTGAAACCCACGACAGGCAATTAAGATATGATTTTATGTTTATAGTTTTAAACAATGTTTTGAATGTTCTACGAATTTTAAGATGATGTAATTCACATTAAGCGGATGTTTTTATGATTTTAAAATAGATTTCAGGATTTCAAGTCACAGATTATCGGACATATTCCTATGTCATGATAGGAACAGATAGTTTAGAATATTGTTGTGTTTAATATTATAAGTGTATTGAATTGTGGAAATAATTCTATGTACAACTCATAAGAAATAAAGTGGTTTTGAGACACTATTGATGTTTAAATTTCATACTAGATATTTTTTTCTCAATTGTTATCTAATGTTAGTGAATATTTCTCTAAGAAATATAGAAAACATATAAAATGAACCATACATACTAGTAGTTGAAAGCAAAACAATGTTTTTGTTTAGTTTTGTTATTTTTAAAAAGGATTTTGTGAATTTTCAGTGAAAGAGGGATAACTTCATTTAACATATAGAATCAGAATTCGATAAGGGTGTATCGAGATAGGTCCGTGGGATTTTTATAGATGTATTTTAATTATATGTCAAGTAGATTACCTCCTCCAGAACGACATTTAATCTATAAAAAAAAATGTCGAATATTCAAAAAGGATAACATATAAAAAGCAATATTTCTTATACTGTAAGATCACAAAAATAAACATGATTGTAAATGAATGATTGCATTTCATATACTTAGTATTATGCAATTGCGGATCTTGCAAACAACACATGAAATCAATAGCCCAGCAGTTTTTCTGCAGTTGAGCATCATAATTCAACATATTTCCGAGATGCACTTTACATCTATCTTTTTTAATGTATGACAAACATGATGATGTTTGTCAACAGCCAGCTATCTTTATTTATGTAGCAATATTCCGCCATCACTTGCATAAAAGTGTACATCTCCTATCGTATTTGATACTCAAGAGTACGCTCTGAGTACGAATAAGTTTTAAACTGATGTAGGTTGCTTACAGATAAGTTGATGTTACAGGGAGTTCGACAATCTCTTGTAAAGAAGGCATCTTATAAATTCTCTGGTCGTCATAAAATGAGCTTCATCGTCGGAACCCATGGGTTTCTCTTCATTACACTTCGTTCAAAGCAGTGTAACAGGGAGAAAAACTGTGGGTTCCGAATGACCTTGTTAGCAAAAAATTAATATAATCTATCGAAGTTTCGTTGAATTGTTTGAATTTGTTTCATATTATTGTTTATTTTGTTTGTTGTTTTTTTTCTATTAAATTTGACTACGAAGGTTCAATCTACTTAAACAATGTAGGGCTAACGACGGCTGTGACCGATCAACGGGGATGTTTACTCCTCCTAGGCACCTGATCCTACCTCTAGAATTTCTAGGGATCAGTGTTTATTCCCTGTTCACAATTTCAATTGTTTGTAGATTTTTTTTAGATCGATCACTGTTCGTTATTTTCACTTTTTTTCATTAATTCTCCATGGCACCTGATCACACGTTTAATGTTTTTGGAAGTCCACGTTATTTTAAATTTGTATTCAGAACAAACTTTTAATGTCGTTTACTATTGGCTGTCGTAAAATCGTGGCCAAACAAACCGATGAAAAAAATCAGTCCATGTCTGAATTAACGATATATTGTTTTTAAATAATATATATATACCACGGTATATTTGAATTGTTAGGTTACCATTAAAGATTTTTTTCCAAAATAAGTTGATAAGACATAAACAACATAAGCAGGTGATAGTGGCTCACAGCGGATGTGACATCAACAAGGGATGCTTACTTCTCAAAGGCACCTGATCCTACCTCTGGGATTTCCAGGGGTCCATGTTTCATGCCCTCTGAACTGAAGTAAATTGTATCTTAATTTTTTCAGATCGGTCACTGTTTTATCTTTATTCTTTTTGTCTTTATCTTTTTTTTTTAATTCTACGTTTCACTCGATTTAAAAGAAAAAATTCAGATACTTTTTATCAAGCTGTATATGTTGATATAATTCGATATGTACCATCAAATTGCATCATTTTTATTAATTGAAACTTTCTTTGACTCTGACCTTTTGTTTTAAATTTGGAGAGAAATTCAAGATAAGTTTATGCAAGTCTATGCACTTGTAAATACAATTTTATTTTACTTTGACCTTACAATAACCATTTAAACATTTGGTTATGTCTCATGTTCCACAGACAATTACTCCTTGTTGTCTGTCTGTCTCCCTTTGTCTTCTACACTAATCTTTCTTAAAAGTCTTTGAGTAAAAATCATGGAAGTTTATTCCTTGCAAAAAAGAACATCAGCTTTTAGTCAGAAAGCATTCTAGGTTCTTTGGGCAAATTAGGGACTGTATGAGCATTTTATTGTCTTGTTCTAGCTGCAGAACTATAGCTCTCTGGTTGAGAAAATTCGGAAAGACAAAACCAGAGATTTACAGATCCAAGCACTAGACAACATAGTCCATGTTTAACACTTAAATAACACTTTCTGTGCATTTGACTTCACTAATACTCACTCATGTTTATAAATGAATTCATATCACCACACAATTCAACATATCACCTGAGTTGAAAGTATTTAGCACCAAATGCCTTTCTTACTGCTTGATGCCATTTAACACAATCAAAAAAACCATGTACACTTTTTTTTAAGATATATTACATAAAACATATACAAAGACATCACTCCATCATCATGTAAACATATCATTAAATAATTTGAATATTTAATATTCTTTGCATGTCTATTAATATATTGTGGCAAATGGGAGGAATATTTGTGCTATCATTTAACAAGATAAAATCGGATAAACTTTTGTCTATTCTGGTGTTTTTGATGAAAGTATTCTCTTTTTCAAGTAATCCTCCTTGAGAATAGAGCACAAAAGTCACATAATATGAGCCTTTCTCAGACTGTTGTACTCTTAGGCCCTATCATTGGTTTTGCATATTCCACAAATTCATCTATTAACACCGGCCAGGCTCCTGAAACACAGAATATGGAGGATTTAGTTGTTTGTTGACCATCTTTTTATAAACAAGGTACTTTTGCTTTTTCAATTGATTTACCCTCTTACACTATACAGAGGGTAGAAATGGGTTTACTTTACAAAAGGCACTCATCAAAATGTTACTGTGCAATATTGTTCACAAGAAAAGTTATTTTAACACAAGACTTTTGACATTTTATTCATGAAATAAATCATAGACGAAAACTTAGCTAATCCAGCTAAAAATTACACTAGTAGCATGGTAAATTTGCTGCAGTGTAGGCAGCAAACATATGAAGACCAAGTCTTAATACTAAGCTACTGACAGAGGGGAGAGAATCACTTCTGAAAAAACATAATTATTTGCAATGAAACACCAACTAAAGAATAAGATAAAATGGATTGATACCAAAAAATGTTACTGTTAAAAAAATATACCCGCTAAAAAAACAAAGAACTGCACTAGCTTTTGTCAAAACATAGAGAGGGGGTAAAGAATACAATAGTACAAAGGCACTAGATTTTTTTTAAATTTTATTTGATGGAACTAAAAATTTATTTTAAAGGAAGCTTAAATTCTGTATTTTGTGCATGTAAAATATAACTTTCTAAGAATTTCCAATTTCTGTTTCTAAGTCCAGAGAAAAAAATACAAAAACAATTCATATTTTGAAGGTGATGTCCAAACCAATAAACTATAAGTTCACATTTTTATTCTAGTTCCTCAGACACAAATTGTTTTAATAGTCATTTGATGGTTGATATACCAGTACATTAATTTCTAGTCTACTGTTTTTGAAAGACAGATTAACAGTTTGATATAGGGTGCTTTGAGTCTTGACTGTTTTTTTTTTTTTTTGAGGACATACCAAGATTTTGATACAGGGTGCCTTTGAGTCTTTACTGTTTTTGGAGGGCATACCAACAGTTTGATATAGGGTGCCTTCTAAATCAAACATTTTTAAAGGCCAGGGTGACAGGTTTGATATATGGTCTTACCTTCTTCATCATAATTTGACATATCTTCATTTATCATATTACAAAAGTCTAATAAAAGGTTCCATGTGTCTTTGGGAATTGATCTTTTGTGATGTTCCTAGGAAAAAAGAATATCGAATGTTAGAAGTACAGTAAAGCAGGGTAAAACTTGTTTATATAAACATGAATATTGCACATTTATGGAAAAAGTGAAGGGTTTATTTTTTTTGGGAATTTGAGGCAAAATTCTTAACAAAAATGTTAATCTTGTAAAATATTATGAAAATAACAAACTCAGATGTGGTAAATTGACATTCTTTATCTGAGTTTGAAAATATTGAAAATATAGATCTTTATAAGAAATTTCCAAAGATTTCAATTATTTGAACATGTAGGCATAATATTCATTAACAATTTTTAATTTACATTTCAATTCATCTAAAACTTTTGAATTCTAAGATATCATTTACATTTGATACTTTTTGAAGTACATTTGCTAGTCATACTTGCAAATTCACTATACAATATAACAAGTTTTTTTATAAGGACAAAATTAACATCAGATATAACATATTAAATTTGCAAGTGCCCATTACTTCAATAAAACCAAGTTTACTGTTATTTCATAGTTCACAAGTATTAACTAAATAAAGTACGATTGAAAAAAAATATTTATTTGTTCTAAGAATTCATATTTACCTGCAAAAATTCACTCCAGATTTTGAGAAACTTGAATTTGCCTGCAAGAACTATATTCCAGTATGCTATTGCCATATCAAGATCTGTTAAAAAAGACAAACATTTTAATATTATCAAACAAGTCAAAGCATACAATAAAATCAACTCTTAATTATTTTTAATGCATTGGTCATATTTTGCTAAATCCATTGCATTCATCTCATATACACTCACCTAACCCTTTTTGTCCTGGATTTTTCGCGTAATTGAATGTGAATTGATAAAAGTCTTTAAATCTGCTGGAATCCCTGATTTCTTGCTCTAGCACAGGACACTTACTTTTCAATTTGTCTACTGAATCACAGCTAAAACAAATCAGCAGATTAGATTACTAGAGAAACATGTATGTGATAAAGTAAAAATGTTATTAAAAGTTATACATGTTTTACTGTATAACATTTAATGCAAATAATTGCATCACTTTAAAATAATATATTAAATGAAAATATATCTAGACAGTAGACATCATATGAATCTAAATGTATAAATTATCAAAAATTATCTGGTGATTGTTTGATTGATTTGTAAAAAAAAAAAAAAAATACAAATGCTTTTCCTTAGTTAAAAACTGTTTGATAAGTAAACCAATTCCTATGGGATAATGATGATCTAGTATCAATAATGTGGACTAGCTTGTGAAACAAATTCAGCTTTTTAAGTTGTTTTTTTCCTTCTATTCAAATCTTACTACTAGGTACTAGGAGTGAAACGGTTCACCGCGGTATCGGTCCACCGCGGTATTTTTTCTCGGTTCGATACACGGTACAAAATCTCAACTTTCGGTTCAGTTCGTTTTTTGGTCGGGCTCATCATTCAGTCGGGTTTGGCATAAGGTATTCTCTGCTTCTCTGTATAATTAGTTCAAAAACGTAAATTTTTGTGGACTTAAAGTTTGTAAAATAATTTTTAACAGACAGATCAATTAAATTTATTTATTATATCCATTCTGCACAAACTTCTTTTGACTAGATTAAGTTAAAGGAAGCATAAAACAACAGTTGAATATGTTTCCTTCTATCAAAATGTATCGTATCGAAAATAATCGAAACCAAGACCAAAGTTTACGATACGTATCGAACCGTGAAGGAGGCGTATCGTTTCACCCCTACTAGGTACTGTGAAATCATATCCAATATTGACAAAGTTGCTATGTGTTGTATGAAAATGTACAGAAACAATTAATCTTTGTTTATAGAATTTCTGTATCAAATTTACAGTTTACTAGATATCTGAAAGAATTGTCAACTCTGTTGGAAAGTTTGCAGCTTCAATGTGGATTCTGTAGTTAATAATTTGTATTATTTTCATTTTTATTAAAAAAAAATCAAATATTACTTTAATTCTGTCATGCCGTTGATAAATTCTTCTTTTGTAAATTCACACTGAGTTGCTGCCTTGAACTTCCATGCTATGAGTAAAACAGTTCGTGATTCTGGACTTAAACTCAAATCCTCCAGAAATTTCATTACTCCGTCCACTGTCATCTTGTCTTCCTCATGGGGATCTGGAAAATGTTATAATTAATCGCTAGGACATTAATGAATATTTATTTAATTAAATTACATACCTGTCAACTCTCCCGAATTTATCGGGAGTCTACCGATTTTTAACCATCCCTACCGACTGTCTACCGATTTTTTTTTTAACTGCCGTTTCTACCGATTTTGAAAAAATCCGGATTTTTTACCTACTTGGGTTCGTAAAATACCGACTAGTCAACACAAAAATGGAGGTCATGCAGTGTTTACATCGATAGCTAATCTGTTTATTGCCACTGATAACAGGTAATCAACAAGGTGTCAACTGTGCTAGCAGATGTAATTGCAGTTGTAATTGCTCCTTATTCTCATTAAAAGTGTATATTATCAAAAACAGAGATGCCAGATGTGAAAATTTTTACAGAACATTACGGTAAATAACGATATGGAAGTACTTGATACTTTGCTGCAAATAAGTTTACAAGTGCCTAAGACCAAACTATTTCTCCATAAACAATTCAGTGATCAGGAAAGATGTAGCTACAGCACTCTATTATTACTTTAACAAGGAGAGGGAAACAATTCCATGGAAGCTAATATGAATGAAGAGTCTGGAGATTTCCCCACAGATTTTGAGATTCAATGACAATGTCTTAGTAAATCCTGCATCAGCATCAGCATATAACAACCCCTGAAACTACAGAGCAACAAGACAGTGTCTTTAGAAGACTTCTTTAAATTTTCAAAGCTAAACAGGGTAATGCATTTCTAAATTAAAATATAAAATTAGCACATTAGAACTAAAGTATTATATTTAAAAATTCTGATATATGTTCTGAGATTAAAAGAAAAAAAATACAGTGTCCTTGTATTTCATTCATACTAGATTACACATTATTTTAAGAATATAAGCCTGAAGTTTTGACAATTATTTCAATTTCAGATCTTTAAATCCAGGACACAACTCATGTTCCTTAGACTTGGAGAGAAATATCCATTCAAACATCTATTAAAAGCTGGAAACACAGACTTTCTGCAGTACCTCATTAATTTTTCTAATTGCCAAGTTAGACTACAACATTTGCCATGAATATTATATAAATGGTGCTCTTATGGACAGGCAGAATATATAGTGAACATAAATTTTTATAATTTCAAAATTAAATCATATTGTACAAGTTTCTAAACAATGTATGAATAAGAAGTAAATTTTATGAATTAATGATAATGTTAATATTAATAATAAAGTTTTATCTTGTAAGTTGTTTATTTTTGTTCTATAAAACAGTGAAATGCGCGACTTTTTGTATTTGCAAAAGGTCGTCGCGCATTTTCTCCCCCGAAAAATTTTGGCAATGTTGACAGGTATGAAATTATTAGTTCAGATGACAATGATTACCTTTTAAAATAGGTATAAATTGAATTTTATATAGATATAGAATTTCATTATATGTTCATTTAGAATATTTTCTTTCAATTAATTACTCTCTGACATTTATAAAATGAAAAAAACATAATATCATAGGATTAAGAGTCTTACAAGTCCAGTATGCTTGACTTTATTCTAATAACGGGACACATATCATAAACTTACTTATCTTTGGGAGGTATCTGTCAAAACATTTACCTACCTTAAAGATCATGTGTCAGTTCTATTTAGCATCTTAGCATAGACGTATTCATTAATACTCAGAAATTTGGAGATACTGTATAAGAAGCCCGGGTCTGAATTTGCAGCACCAGCTCGTATTACAGCATAAACACTGCAGAGAAAATTCGAACTATATAACAACATTACCATCACAGTACCTCGTATCTGTGTTTTTACCTCTGTATCTCTGCCATAGGGCATCGAGTTTCTTTTTGTCGACGGAAGATCTAGGCTCGCTACTATAGCGATCAGGGTTTTGAAAGAAATTGTCAACAGCAACATCGAGTTTCCAATCGTGAGCTCCTAAGCAGTTGATTGCTGACTTTTCTCCCGTTTGTGTGAAGGCAATAAATTGCCTCACTTTGTCTTTCTGGGAACTTTTCAACTTGTGCTACAAAATCAAATAATAAAAATATCACTTTAACACAACAGATAGGTCTCACTATTAATAATCGTATCGTTTTCCATTTCCTTACCATTTCAGATATTACTCCATAGTCTAGGGTCAAGAAGGTTATCGCGCATGCGTTAGAAAAACTTGTAAACACAACTGCCTTTTCAGGAAAAATGCTTACACAAAGCACATTTTTGTGGGTTCTTTTTTTCAGTTAAATTATTCTGAATTTATTCCCTAGCAAGGAAATATTCCACTGTTTTGAATCTTTTAAATTTTCATGATGAATATATATACATCCAATATTTGACTTTTCTCAAATAAATTAAAAGAATATTTTTTTTGAATATGAACTTTCTCACTTGCTGGTCCGGCCTGCACAACAAGATAGGTAAGTAAGATAATTAACCAAAGTAAAAATTGTTTTGTACAAATATGAACAGATTCATTAAGTTTTAAGTTTAAAAGTTTTTTTCTTAAAATAAAATTTATCTGCATGATATACTGAGAAGTACACTTCTAAACACTGGCGGAGCAAGGCGCAAAATGAAGTGCATGTTCAAAAAGAGAGGAGATCTATGAGCGCTTTTTATCAATGCGCGTATACGTTTATAATTAATACTTTTATTTTATGGAAAGAGTATATATTAACATTTTCTTTATTATGAACATTTTCAAGGTTACTGAAAACTTTGCAGTGTCCTAAATAAAATAATAAAAGAGGAAGTCTAAATATTTATTTAAAATGATTATTTTTAAATCATTCTTTCGATAGAGTTACCTGGAAAATCGTAGAAATCGTTCTTTTAATTTGAATTCTTTATTATAAAGTTAACATCTCTCTTCTAAGGTAAGTTAAAGTTGTTTAATTCAAAAGTATTCGACTCTCAATTATGTGATATTTCTATAAAAAGGCTTCGAATATTGCATGAAATTAAAAATATATACACGTTTGGACAATATATCATATCGAAATTCATAGATATGCAATTAATTCAGATACATCATAGTAGTGCATTTAAGGGGGGGAGGGGGGGACAAAAGCCAACTTGTTCCAAAACAGGTAGTATTTTAATGTTGAAAATGTTCTCATTAAAAGGGTTAGGATGATTAATAATGTGATGATGATTATTTTTTTTTTTTTTTTTTTTTTTGGAATTAGTTGGAATCGAAATCATATGGTATTTTGAAGTTTTCAGAAAGAAGATGGGCGCATTTGGCGTGTGATCTACAGGAATCATTTGTACGAAACATTTATGGTTTAAATGTCCATGATTTCGTTGGTTGAACATAGCTGGTCAGATTTTACAAACACGTCCATAGAGTTTTTTTTAATTTAGTTTGAAATACCTTGTGAGATTGTAACATTTAAGTCCGTTTTTCCTAGGGGGTACTATAACAAAGTAATTTTTCGCAAACAAACACACATAAAATATTTAATTTATAGATGCATGATACGTGTACATGTACATTATAGAATAGAAGATTGGAATTGATTTCGCTCGAGAACCAAACTGAACCAAAATTTATCTAATTCAAAATTTTAATACATCAGTACATAAAACGAAACTGACAAAATAAATGGTCGTTTGCATGAAAAAAAAATTAACGCCCCATGACAGGCTCGAACCAAAAACTTTTCGCTAAGAGTGCACTCAACAGGTAGCGCAACTTACTGAGCTACATGTATTTCCGCTACGCATATAAAGACGATTTTAAAAGGACAAAGAAGCACCACATTCACACATTTGGATTTTTTGGGAAAAAGTTCATTTTTTCGTGGTCTCTGGGTCTTGTCTCCATTTTTTTAAAAATGTGTATTCGTTTCTTTGAATTAAAATACACAGAAATAACGATTCAAAATCATGGAGAGAAGACCCAGAGATAGAAAAATTTTAGAAAAAACGTTTAAAAATGTACCATTTTATACCAAATGTCTGATCTGGCCAATTTTCAAGTTATTTTTTAGCAAATCAAAGCTCAATTTTGGGAAAATATTTTCCTTTCCTGTTGCACAGAAACCCGATAAATAAAACAAATGTTTAAATTTCATGTGACATGTCGATAAAATTTTCACTTTTCAATTACGCCCAGATTCCTGCCGAATGCCAATCAAAAGCGCCCTCATTCTTTCAATTAATGATTGAGATATATTTTTTCCCTACGTCATGTCACCGGAAAGATTGTCCAGATAGTTACCCCTATCATATTATGACTATGTGAGTGACAGTACACATGTATAATAAATGTCTGCTGTCTTACATGTGCAAATTGGAAAGAGTAGTTGAAGTATTATAGAATACCATAAACCAAAGTCAACATAACATAGGCGACGGAACTCCGGGGGGGGGGGGGGGGGGGGGGGGGGGGGGGGGGGGTTGGTACTACGGTGGTTAGCCCCAACCCCACCCCATCCCCACTTTCTTTTTTTTTTTTTTTTTTTTTGCAAAGACCAGCTTTGAAATTGTTGTTCTCTTTGAACATGTTGAATTAGCCCCCCCCCCCCCTTCCAATGTGCTTCAGACGCCAATGCATAAAAACTGTACATTCATCGAAGACAAGAAAATAAATGTTTATTCCATTTAATATGTGTTCTTAGCTTAAAAAATGAGAATACTGGAAATGGGGGGGGGGGGGTGCCGATAATATCCGAACGACATCTTTTAATCCGTTGAAGATTGTCACTTCCTATTACCGAAACCACGTGGTACGATCTTCGCGCCATAAATCGAAGCATTGTTGTTATTTGGTAGACTGCTGGAAAGTTGTTTTACAGTCAGATCACGCCAAGAAATCAAAATGCCACCAAGAGATTACGCAGCAGATAAAGGTTAATAATGCTTCCAAAGACATTTAACAATTATATATCAGCTGATATGTATGTTTAAACTGAAATGTTTTTGTTGCAGAAAAGATCAAAACATTTCTTCGGGAGTTCTATGTGGACGGCGATGATGGTGGAAAAGATTTTGTCTATGGCCAACAATTGGTAACGACTTTTGATATTTATTATTTAGTGTGCGCATCTCTTTGCAAGAAAGTGTATGAAGAGTCGTATACAATGTATTTTTGAACACATTAATATTTTACATACCACAATTATATTCCCTATAAACAGAAGGTTGAAGTGATTTACTCAATTGCTGACTTTATTTGGAGACCAAAGAAAAACACCTTTATATTAGTTTTGTTTTGGATTGCCTCAGGGAACTAGGATTCAAAAAGGTGGTAAAATATGGACAGATCAGTAGACCAGCAGGAAACCCATTGACTATTAAACATATGGACATCATGAACTTGAGTAACAATTGTATTTTGACAGGTCAAAATAGCCCACAGAGAACAGGTAGCCTTGACTATTGATCTAGACAACATTAATGATTTTGACCCAGAACTCAAGGAAGCTATTGAAGAAAACACTCGCAGATACACTGCACTTTTTGCTGATGCCATTCAAGAAATTCTACCAGATTATAAAGAAAGAGAGGTAATTTTGTATGTAAATTTTCATAGTTGAATGAAACTAATACATATACAAAAATGAAACTAATACATATACAAAAAACAATTCTTAACTAGTGTGGAAAAAAATGTATGAATTCCCTATATCTTGAAACATGGAAAAGATAAATTTGATCTGTGTATTATTGTAGGTTGTCCATAAAGATGCCCTTGATGTTTACATTGAGCACAGGTTGCTGATGGAGCAGAGAAACCATCCTGATGGTCAAGAAATAACCCGTGACCCCCGGAATAAGTACCCAGCAGAGCTGATGAGAAGATTGTAAGTACCCTGATAATGTGGTAGTTTTTAGTCTGATTCACAGTTTTTTGGGGTGATTTCAATTTCACAGTATGCATTGCAATAAAATATATATTATTAAACTTCAAGATATAATGTTTAATTTGTAAGAGATGTCGGTATATCTAAGTTCTTTAATACCACCCTTAAGTTCTGGGGTTCCTTCTGCCAAAATGGGGTTACCAGGTATTTATTTAATTTAATTTTTTCACATTTTCTACTAAGATGGAGTTTCATGTACTTCTTTGAGATACTGCTAACATTTAATGAGTGGGAAAACATTGTTCAATTGATCTACTAAGCTGCCACTATGTTTAATAATAATTATTAGCATGTTTATTATAAAATTTAGGAGAATCTGAAGTAAGTGGCAAATTCTGATAATTATACCATGACTTGTGATGCATGTTTAATTATACCCCCCGCTTGAAAAGTGGGAGGGTATATAGTAATCGGTATTTCCGTCCGTCCGTCTGTCTGTACGTCCGTCCGTCTGTCCGTCCGTCTGTTACGCTTTGGGGTACCCATCTCTTATCCGCAACTCCTCTTATACTACTGAGTGAAATTTAACGAAACTTTCACAGAATCTTTATTATATATTGCCATTGTGCACCTCCTATTTTAATTTTTAATTTGACATATATTTTGGATTTACCAGAGCAAAACATGGACACTGCTATTATATTCATATGGGAGGCGGGGGGTATCATTTAGTGAGCTCATTGCTCACAGTACCTCTAGTTTGATATCTTTTGCAGTGAGGTCTATTTTAAGGCCCCAGGCCATGAAAAGCATCAGCTGATTCGAGAGGTGAAAGCAAACTGCATTGGAAAGCTGGTGCAGGTCAAGGGCATTGTGACAAGGACAACTGAGGTGAAACCAATGATGGTTGTGGCAACTTACACCTGTGATACGTGTGGAAACGAAACTTATCAACCTGTAAGTGTTTACAGAGAAAAACACAGTTTATATAGATACATGATCTGTTTAAAAGAATTAATATACATTTTAAATTTTGCAACCTGTTGAAAGAGAAATTTTCCAAAAAAGTATTCTTGTTACTTTAAAGTACATGGTATAGCACAAGTGATCTATTTGATGTGTTTAAAGACTTCTTTAGAAATAAAGTTCTGGTTTCAACATATTCTACTTGAAAAGAAAAAAAGAGATTTTGCTCAACTTGCAAATTTTGCTCTCAGACTGTAATTAAATTTTTTTTAAACAGATAAACTCCCCATCTTTTATGCCTTTGATCATGTGCCCTAGTCAAGAATGTACCACAAACAGATCTGGTGGAAGATTATATCTACAAAGCCGAGGCTCAAAGTTTGTCAAG